TTGCGGGCCGCTATGGGGGTGTTGGTGGGGTTATTAGGGGTTCTGGACCCTTTTTTTTTTTTGTCTTTTGCGGAGTGCCAACGACCCCCGACCGGTAGGTGCCGCCCAGCCGACCAGTCAAGGGCCACCGACCGTCGGGGTATGCAACACTGATGGATACCTATATCTATCTATCTATCTACTAAAGGAAAAAAGCGGCCCTCGTAAGACACTCCCTCCGGGCCTCGCAAAAATGAGCCCCACACATCGTTTGGATGGTACACGAGGGCAAACAATTTTTGCCAATTTCAATATTCTTTAATTAAATATTTTTGCCAAAATTAAAATTCATTTAATTAACTCAAATTTTCCGATTAAATTTTATTTAATTAAATAATTAACTTTTTTTTTTTTTTTTTTTAATAACAAAATAGGGCCTTATGGTCCTAGCTCCTTCTATTCTGGGGAGCATCAGTCCGGTTCCTATTCCACCGGCAAGTCAAAATACATGTTACATCAATGAGAACTCACACACGCTTCCTTCCGTCAGGCCGAAGGACCCAAATTTAATTTTTCAGAATTCGAATTTTTTCGGGAATTTTTTTTTTCTTGATTAGTGTCAAGTTCGAGGTCAGGGCAGGAAGGGACTGTCTGTGCATTGTTTGCCCCCCTCCCTTCTTCCCACCCCTGTTTTGTTTTCTCGCTCGTCCTCTCGGTACTGCGGACTGCAGTCCCCGGCCACCTCAGCAGTGACACGTCAGCAGCAGACGAAGGCCGGAGTACTTAATGCGCCGCAGTCAACGGCTTGCGGAGCGCGGATCCACAGGAACCAAGCCCCAACAGGGACCGAAGACCCCTCGGATCCCCTGCAGACGACGCACGACCATGGCCGCTACCGCTGACGCGAATGCAGAAGCCAGCCCCAAGAGGCCAGTTACCTCTCCTATGCCAGTTCAGCAGGCAAATGAAACGCAACTCGTGTTTCTCAAACGTCTCCAGCCATACTCGGAGACTATGGCAGCAGAACTACGCAAATGGGAACAGGAGGAAGCCGCTCGCCAGCAGGCAATCCAACGCCAGCTGGCAGAGGCAGAGGCAGCACGTCAGCAGGCCGCAGCCGAAGCTGCACCAGACGCCCGGTTGCAGCAGTAGCAGGTCGAGGCAAGTCAAGATCAAGCTCGTTACCAGGCCACAATGGACCGCGCAAAAGGCGAAGCCACGTACCGCCGGTTACTTCGACGACATCATTTCCAAGTAACCGAAGAACAAGAAGAGCCGACCGAGGAAGAGAGCGACAAGGAATCCACAGCGATATTGATGGAGAACCTTCTGTACACGTGCAACTGGCAGCAACACGAACTGCTGGCCGTGCGGCAGATCTTCATCCGCTACGAAGCAACGTTTCGGACGCAGGACCAGAATATCACCACCTTGCAGAACACGAACAGCCAGCAGCAGGCCATCAACGACCAGCTGCAGACCACTGTCAGCACAGGGTTGGCACGATTGTCTGCAGTTGAGTCAACGGGCAGTGCAGTTGTAGACTGCAGCCCAGCTTTGGCCGCTCAAGCCAAGCAACTCGAGGAGCGGATCAACCACGTTGTAGCATCCCTTGGCGACATCAGCAAGTTTGCTGGAGCATCAACAGTCAACAATCAGCTGCAGACGCTCAGCGACCGCATTCAGCAATGACCGGCCACCGTCGCCAAGGAATGGAAGATGCCGAACTTCAAGATTGAGAAGTTCAACGATTACCACAAGACAGATCCGCTGCAGTGGTGGATGGCATTCAACGCGCAGGCAGACGTACATCACGTCCCACCCGAACGGCGGCTTCACGCACTCTACCTCCAACTCATTGGAGGGGCGCAGGCTTTCATGACTCACATGGCCGTCACGTTGGAATGCACCATCGCCACCCTCCACACCAAGATCACATGGGAGGAATTTGAGAAGTGGAGGACCCCATTCATGGTCAACAACGACAAACGTCACGCCTTCAACAAGATCTTCCGCATCTTTCAAGGCTAGCAAACGTCACGGGAATGGTTGACGGAGTGGCAAAGACTCGTCGCCACCCCGGAGTTGAACCTGTCCTTCGACTCAATCCGGGCCGAGTTCTTTGCCCGGTCTTGCAACGCTTTGACAGCTGCTCTTGGCAGCGAATTTCGGTACCAGACCTTTGATGAGACGATCTCAAATTCAAGGGAACTCATCCAAGGTAACCGGCACGCGGCCAATGAGGCCCGCCAATAGCCCGGTTACGTGGAGAAAGGCAAAGGTCAGCGGACGCCGCAAGTAGCAGCGGTCCAGCAAGGATCTAGCGAGGACCACGCAGCCGCGTCTACATCAAGTGACGGAGATGTGCCGGCAGCGATACTACCGCAACGCTCAAGACCCCGTGGGGAAAAACATAAGGCGAAAACAGCATCGGCGGATGGAGCACGACAGTCACCATGGACGAAGTTCGGTATCACCGAAGACATGTTCAAGCTGAGGCAGAAATGGGGATGCTGTTTATGGTGTAATAGCACCAAACACATCACTAGCGCATGCCTAGACAAGGACAAGGAAAATGTCAAGCGTCCAGGCTCGGGAAACTGAGCACCGAGGGAAGTGCAGCGACATCACTTCCCAGTCCGCCGGACTCGGCTGCCTTGCTAGCAGTCTCTCTCACGTCTGGGGACACCGCGGTAGTCGCAAGTTCTCAGATTGACTTCGAGAACTATGCTGTTGAGCTGGTCCCGCCGTTGAACCAGCCTCTCCACGTGCAAGATTCAAGCGCATGCACGGTGTTACCGTCGCCGGACAACGAACCGGTTGCTTCGCCAACCCTTCTATCGGAGGATCCGTCAACTTGGGTGAGTCTTGAGGAACTCGACCGGTTGACGGTTGAGGACTTCCAATGGATGCCTCTTCCCTCCACCGGTTCTTTGCCAACACCGCATTGCAACGCCCTGATGGCACATTTGTGCGAATACTTGCATGCTGCAGTACCACCTCCGTCGACGGACGACGGAGTAGAGGTTGTTGATCTTCGTAGCTATCTTGCGAAGATCGACCGCGAGCATGCAACGCAACGGTATGTCGACATCGACGCGCCGCTCCTATACATCCGCACTCAGATCGTAAAGGCGACCTGCAGTGCCTTGATCGATTGTGGAGCGACTCGCAAC